TCTGGTCAGTTGATTTATCTAGTTATATTCGTTTCAAATTTGATTAATCTCATACGCTAATTTCTCAAATGATCTTCATTTAATGTTTAATTCAACATGCCTGTTGTAGAACACCACCCAATCCAAGAGTTTCCACCATTGATGACCGCCACTATCCATACTTTGTATCATTCCGAGTTTCTGACAATCCAATTTTTGTACTGGTTTGTAAACCATTAATTGGAGAAAATTACTACTCATGGAGTCGAGCTATGCCCAATGCTTTGTTTATCAAAAATATATTCGGTTTCATYGATGGTACATTGCGAAAGCCTCAACATAGTAATAGTCCTAGGATATTGCAAATTAATTCGATGAGATATTATGAATCTTGAACACATCCAAGAATTGAAGGTTGAAGTCGTTATGGGAACTCTCACATTTCGCCTTCATTGTACTTGCCGAAAATATGCATGTGGTGGTATTAAAAAAACCTTGGCTGAGGAACATTTACAATGAGATCATCGGATAGAGACCCATACATGTGAACTACTTGCCTTCAATTTTCCTGCAATTTTTGAAGATAGTAAATTAAAGCACTAAATTAAGATGAAATCCTTATCTTCAATGGCCAATATTAGTTTTGTGCTTTTTGGAATATAACCAGGGGACAATCAAAAGGATCATGTGGTAGGGATAACAAGACGGGATGAAAAATGTTGCAAGTAGTGATGATGATATAATGGGTGAGTTATGTGTGGATTCAGTAATAGGAGAGGCTTGTGAAGTATATCCTAATATGAAGGAAGGAGAAGAAAAGTAGGAGAGAAACAATTTAGTTTGTAAAGTGTTTGGGACTGTATTTTGGATGAGATATAGGGATTGGATAAAACTCAAGAATCGTATCAAAAAGCACTTTTTGAATACAATAATTCAACCCTATTAGCCTTGGGTTCACAGATTTTGTATTGAGATAATTCTTCGGGTTATTCTCTCTTTTTCAAAGGCTGTGAAAATCAAGATTTTTATACCCAGATTCTCGTTTTACATATTTAAATGAGAGATTGACGGTTATTTGCGGTTTATTGGTGGTTTAACGGTTATAATCGTTAATGGATAAGATCAAAAAACAGTTACAACCAAATCTAAACTTTTGTTTTCAGCAGACTCCACGAAGAGCTGGAAGTTCACTTTTAGCGACAACTGAAAACACATTCAACGACAACAACCACAACTGAAGACACCTTCAGCAGCGACAACTGAAGGCTCTTCAACAACAACTTAAATTGTTAAGCGATAGACGAGCACACACGTTCAACAATGGTTCAATGATAGCTGAATATGCACGACTTTGTGAAATTTCTAAGTCATTATAAGCCATGGGGATCAGCCCCCTGGGACCCCGCCAGGGGTGCTACCCCTAAGAGCTCGTCAGGGGCGCTGCCCACTTTACCCTACTTTATGGCAATCAAAGGTGATAAGGATAACATTTATAAGTGTGCACCCCGCACTTCTTAACTTACGTTTGTTTGCCTCATCGCCTTAATCGATCCCAAGTAAATCACAATTATACCATTATGCTTGATGACACTAAAATCATAAAAACGAAGAATAATAATGCATGTAATAGTTAAAGAGACGAGGGAGGGAGTGTAGTGAGGGTGTTATAAAGGGAAGGGTGGATGAAGCTGGCAGCCGCGATGGATGGAAGGTAAAATAAGAGCAAGAGAAATTACAAATATAATCCACGTGGTTTAAGAAAACTATGATTTCATCACTCCACTCTCAAAAGTCTCCAGTTTGGACTTCGTTTTAGTTTTCTTCCTTGACCCTACTATGTTACTCTTCTTTGTTTAAGTGCCCCACGTGCTAGTCACTATGGTGCGTCAATCCAAACCTATAAACGAGCATTTTTTACTTGCAAATAATCAAGGGAGAAAAAGTATACCAGATCTCTAGGAGATATATAGAAGAGAAACTTACCATTCTTGAACAACAATAGATGTGACACCCAAGACAGATTTACAGAGGTCCATGATGTTCGAATGATTGCAATGGAGCCACATTTATAGATCACCATTGTTGAGCTACCAAGAAGATGAAGAAAGAAAGAGGTAAAACAAATAAAGATGAAGAGTAACGATTATAAATAAGGTGGGGACACAAGGGCAAATTGGCTATATTTTGTCCTCACATTACTAGCATGTGAGGGCACTTAAAAAGAGATGTGTAATGACCGTTATATATAAAAAAAAAAAAAAAAAAGAAGTAAATAAATATAATAAATTTTTATAAAGATATAAAGTATAAATATTGAAAAAATTCATATACAAATATATAATTTAAAAAATACATATTTTTAATACTTTATTAATTAATAATAATATATAGTTAATTAATATATGTAATTATAATATAGATTAAAAATAAAAAAATGTAAAGAATATAATAGAAAAGTATTTAAGAAGTTAAAGGGTTGAAACTAAAAATATCAAGGGTTAAAAATGAAAAATAAAATAATTTATTTTAATGTTTTAAGTAGGTAGAGGTATGAAAACAATAGGGAAAAAGAAATACCAGTTGGTGTTGGTGGGAATAGAAAACCCCGACAAAATACCTGACAATAATATATAAATTTATAGTATAGTTGTCAACATGTAATTTATTGTATGCTTATGGATGAGCGTGATGGTCACATATCATTGCTGTTATTGGCTCATTTTTCAAAATTGGTGTGCTAAGTTACCAACTGTAGT